TTTATAACATGTAGTTTAAAATTAGAAGTTTACCCTCTTCTACCTCCCCCTACCTCCCCTTCCCTCTGGCAATCACCATGCTATTGTCTGAGTCCATGAGTCTTTATTTTCTTCACTTAATCTCTTCACCCTTCTCACCCACCCCTCAACCCCCTCCCCTCTGACAGCTGTCAATCCGTTCTCTGTATCCATGAGTCTGTCTCTACTTTGTTAGTTTATTTTGTTCATTAGATTCCATATGTAAGTGAAATCATACAGTACTTTTTCTGACTGGTTTATTTTACTTAGCATATTGTAGAATTGTTTACCTGAAACCTATATAATTTTATTAACCAATGTCACCCCAATAAATTCAATAAAAATAAATTAAAACAATAAAATTAGATGTTATTTTTATCATCATTTATTATAAAACCATGCTTGAAATTACTTTGGGTGATATGCATTGAATCTTATTCTCTAATAGTGTTCTCTGATCTACATGGTTCTTGTTAATGTTAATTTACCCATTAACAGCTGAGATTGCCCAAATTCACATATAGATTTAGTCTCTTACCTCTGCTCCCTCTAGGTAGCCTTTTTTCTATGTACTGTTATCTTTCTAATGTATTGTCTGTGATTGCATATTTATAGTCATTTGCTTCTCTGTCTTTCCCAATACAACATGGGCTCCTTGAAGACAAATGACTGTCTTTTATTTATCTTTATATCTCCAGTGCTTGAAATGTCTTTAGTAAAAGCATTTATCTATTGAATAAATGATGTCCATGGCAAGGTGACAAATTCCACAAGAGAAGGTATAAGCAGAATGCAAGGAAGAGTTGAGGGAGAAGATATTAAAGTAGGAAGAATGAGGTCTTAGAGTGAGGATAGTTTTAATAAAGGCCCTTTATAGGAAATAATTTAAAATTAGGGAATAATTTGTATTGATCTTATCTAGAACATACTTATTCCTGTGAGTGTATCTAAGGTATTTGCATGCCCTCCCATTGAATTTCTCCTTGTTTAAGAACAAAAGGAAGAGAACAATAAAGAGTGTGTGATGACTGTTTTCACACATTTCACCTATAGTCTTCATGTCAGATCTGTAACTTAGGTATTATCTCATTTTTACAAATACGGATACCACAAAACTTAGATCATGCTGAAAGTTGGAAGGTTGGCACCACAGAAGCCAAACATCTATTCAGTAGAACATGGTAAACATTAATGTAATTGAACAACTAGGCAAATGTACTATTGTTTGAAATTTTTATAAAAATATTTAGGCTGACTCTACATATCATTGCCAAGGAAAATCATTTTGCTATTTTCATTTTCAATAATTGTGCAAATTCAGTCATAAAACCCAATCTGCAAGTAAATCTTCAGTTCATTCTTCATGACAGCCATGTTCTAAAAGGAAAATGTTCCAAGGAAAATTCCATGGCAATCAAGGTAAACTTTTATGACTGAATTCCAAGATAGATAATTGGAATGAATGCCCCTTGAAGATTTTTTTTTCCAGAAGGAGAGCACCATTGAATATTTAAAAGCATTAGGCTCAGTGTTAAGAAATAGATAGAAACTAGGCTCTAGTTTCAGCATCGTCCTTACTTGTTGGAGTGTATTTAGATAAGCTATTAACTTCTCTGTGCCTTATTTATGAAATGAGGAAATTGATTGAATCGTTAAAGATTACTTCCAGCTCATACATATGAAATACAAGTAATTTTATGAAGTAGGGAACTGAAGAATGTGCAGTAATTTAGTTCCAAGACATCACAAATACTGTGAAAATAAAATGTATTCTAAGTAGAATTAGCAATGCCATTTTTATATATAAATTAAGGTTTAAAAATTATAAATGACTATAATTCATTTGTATATTACAGCAGTCCCCCTTGTCCACGGACTTGCTTTTTGCTGATTCAGTTACCCGTGGTCAAAAATGGGAAATTTCAGGAATAAACTGTTCATAAGTTTTAAATTGTGTGTCATTCTGAGTAGCATGATGAAATCCCATTCCATCCTGCTCTGTCCCTCCTGGGAAGTGAATCATCCCTTTGTCCAGTGCTGTATACACTGCCTGTCTGTTAGTCACTTAGTAGCCCTCTCATTTATCAGATTGACTGTCCTGGGATTGCAGTGTGTTTGTGTTTAAGACACCCTTGCTTTACATAATAATGGCCCCAAAGCAAAAGAGTAGTGATGCTGACAATTCAGATATGCCAAAGAGAAGCCATAACGTGCTTTCTTTAAGTGAAAAGGTGTGTGTGTATAGGAAAAAACAATGTTTGTAGGGTTTGGTACTATCCATAGTTTCAGGCATCCACTGGGGGTCTTGGAATGTATCCCCTGCAGCTAAGGGGAGACTACTGTATATGATTATTTATATAATGAAATCTGTACCAATTTAAAAAGTAAATGTTTTATACATTTCTTGTTTTTCATAAGTATAAAAGTAAAATTTATTGAACATTTTATATACCCGCATGAAGGTAATAGGTGTATTTATGAAAGTATTTCCAGTTGTCATTTTTGAGCCTGATTAACAATTACATTTCTAAATTTATCTAAGACTTTAGGATAGATTTTGTGGAAAACAAGAGTCCTTTAGTAATTCAGGTCTCAGATCTTGTGAAATTTTCTTTAAGACTGTAATTTCCTAACCTTAGTATTGAGAGATGCCTTTGACAGTGTCTGTTCTCTTTTGTTCTTCGTATCTTAACAAGAACTTTAGGGACAAGTTATATGGTTAAAAAAAAAAAAAAAGGATATGAAGAAATCTGGAGATTACAAAGAACAATGTGGTGTTTTCTTTTTATATTTTTGACATTTATGTATTTATAAAAATCAATCTCTGTTACTTATGCAGATCTCTTGACGTCTCCTTAGTGATACTGCTGTTACCATTTAAAAAAATATTGGTCACACTTATTCATCAAATGTTTTGAGTAGTTTTTATATGCTAAGCATTATACTAAGTATTGGGGATTATTGGAAAATAATGTAGACAATTAATTTTGACTCAGACACTACTGAAACATTTAAATCTTAGGTTCAAATCTTATTAAAGCATATAATCTTTAGAGTCAGATTCTACAGGTTCTTAAAGATATCTTTTCACCTAGGTGAGGCTCTGGCGCATGTATTTATTAGGTCATTGGCATTTTTTGAGAGTTCGGATAAGTTATTGCTTTATCTTTCCTCCTTTTATTTTTTTTCTAATATGCATTTATGTCATTAACTTATGCATTTCTGGCACATGGACTAGGTTATCTGAATATAAAGTGAAGTATTCCTGCAGCTTTTTTTCAATAAAGAATTAGACCCAGACATCTGAAAAATAGGCTAATCATTGTGCCAAATTGAGATCTGGAACAATTCTATGTATTTTTGTATCTAAAACTATTTATATATAGCTATATGGTTATAGTTAATTTCATTTATAAAGTTACATGTGTGTACGTGATCCCTTCAATTACTTGACAGTAAGGTGGCATCTGATAGGAAGTTTGTATCTGTTTGGTGTGTATCTGTTTTGTATGTTATAGTAAATGTGGATTATTTTTCTGTTAATTTGTGATGCCATTATAAAAACATTTACTTTTTCATGACCTAGATTTTTTCCCCTGTACTTAAAAAGATTGGTAATACCTAGGGTGTGGTGAATAGTGAGCAGCTGGTTCATCTTGTGCTAACACTGTTGGTGTAAGTCTAAATTAATAGAATTTTTGTAAATAACAATTTAGTAATAACAACTAATTTAAAGTAGATATTCTTTGATTCAGCAGTTCTTCTAAGAACTTATTCTTGGTAAATCTTCACATCGGTGCACAAAATAATGTTCAGGAATGTCCGCTGAAGCCAAAACATGAAATATAGTAAATGATCCAAATGTCTGTCAACAGGGGATTAGTTAAATAAATGATAATATATCACTATATGTGCAGAGTTCTTTTCTTTTTTAACCACCCTGTGGATTTTCCTAGTTATTCCCCAAAACACCATACTATTTTAATTTCATAGTTTTATAGTAATATGTTTTGATATCTGGTTTATATTCTCTATACCGTCCTTGTTTTATAAGCATACATAAAAGTCTTAACAGATAATATTAATGTCACTGTACCCACAGATGTTCACCCTTGGAGTAGCCGTCATTGATTGATTTGGAAAATAGTAACTGCCACTTCTGTATTCATTCATGTGGATTGGTGTAGAGATGGAGAGAATATTGAGCTCTCACAAAGTAGGTCTGAAAACCTAGTGTCCACTGCAGTAGTGGTTTCCACATGTTTGTGTACACCAGAATCATCAGTGGAGCTCTTAATAATATCAGTTCGTGGCCATCACACAGACCTGCTGAATTGGAATCTGTATTTTTAACAAGGGCTCAAGAGAGTTTTAAGTAGTCATGCCCACACCAGTTGAGAACCATCGTACTATAAGCTTTACGGTATTTCCAAAATGCAAAAGTTTTAGAAGAGTGTGATGTACTACTATATAACATGAACATTTTCTCATCCTCTTATTTTTCTTTATCTCTTTCCTTCACCCTGTTTCTGTTTTTGTCCCTCTTAATATTTAGTTCTTAATTCTATTTTTAATTTTTTCTCTCTCTGGTCTGGTTTTTCACTGGTGTGTCTCTCTTCTGTCCTTTCTCCCTCCTCCCCTACCTCCTTTTTTTTCTCCCATGTGCCTACTGATAAGTTACTGATTGCTGTTTTCTCTGTTCTCATTGGCCCTGAAATTGTAACTTTCTTTCTGGGTTCCCTCCTCCTCCACTGTGTGAAGTGTTAGCTCTTTGGCATCCAGGGCTCATACCAAGTTATATTTATCCTGTTCTTTGGGCAGATAGATCTGAGTCTCTCACAGATCATTCCTACCTTTCAATGGCAGGAGTAGGAATCAACTCTCTGGGTTTGGTGTAGGAAACTTTTAAGCTTTACATTTAAAGCTTGAATTTCTTAAGTAAGGATCATTGTAACCAGTCTTTTTTTCTCCTCTACCTACAGGGAAGAAGAGGAACGTTTGAGAAATAAAATTCGAGCTGATCACGAGAAGGCCCTGGAAGAAGCAAAAGAAAAATTAAAAAAGTCGAGAGAGGAAATTCGAGCAGAAATTCAGACAGAGAAAAATAAGGTAGTCCAAGAAATGAAGATGAAAGAGAAAAAGCCACTGCCACCAGTCCCTATACCAAACCTTTTAGGAATAAATGGTGGAGACCCAGAAGATAATGACATAAGAAAGAAAAGGGAAAAAATTAAAGAGGTAATAAGCTGAGATTTATGATATGGAGTGATTATAGATATATATTTGGATATACATGCACACCATTTATGTTGTCATACTTAGATCTTGTTTGTTTTTGGGTCCTAGTTGTTCATTTTCCAAGTTGTCAGTAAGGACTAGAACTCCCTTCTTCGTAATATGGGTTATAATAGGATTATTGGACACTTAAAATTTTGATATAATGTTTGGATGGATACATCACTCACCCTATGTTTAGAGATCTTTCGATATTCAGCATTTTATAAATAATGAAGAGTAGATGTATAAATAATTTATCAAATAAGAAATTTCTTAAGTGGTGCTATAAGAGATTCTGCTATATACTATGCATATCTCCTCATAAACATGCTTTTGAAGAGTTAGCATTATATCTGCCATCTTTAATTTCTCTTTCAGCAGTGTTTTGTAGTTCTCAGTATATAGTTTTTACATATACTCTGTTATATTTACTCCTAAGTATGTCATGTTTTTTGATACGATTATAAATGTAATGTTTTAAAATTTTCATTTCTGTTGTTCATTACTAGCGTATGGAAATATATTTGATTTTAGTTTGCTAAACTTGTATTCTATTATTTTACTGAAGTCATTTATTAGTTCTAGTGACTTTTTTTAGATTGCTTAGAATTTTCCTTGTACAGAGTCATGTTCTCTGTGACTATAGAAACTTACACCTTTTTCATTTTTGATTTTTATGTCTTTAATTATTTTTCTTCTCTTATTGCACTTTCTGGGACTTCTAACACATTGTTGAAAAGAAGTAGTGAGAATGGACATGTTTGATTTGTTCTTAATTTTAGGGGCTTAAGCATTTAGTCTTTTACCATTAAATATGTTGTTAGAAGTAGGTTTTTTTAAGATGCCCTTTATTAGGTTGATGTTTCCTTGTAGTTATAGTTCACTGACAGTTTTTATCATGATGGGCGTTGAATTTTGTCAAATGCTTTGTCTGCCTCTATAGAGATTATTGGAAGATGGTTTTCCTTTTATTTTGTTAACATGGTGAATTATATTGATTGGTTTTTGAATGTTAAGTTAGTCTTATATTCCTGGTTTAAACTGCATTTGGTCATCATGTCGTCATATATTGCTAATTTTGTTCAGTAGTTTTGTATTTGTGTTTTATATTGGTTTTTAGTTGCCTTATAATGTCTTTGCCTGGTTTCAGTGTCTGAGTAAGGTTAGCTGCAAAAAACAAGTTGAGAAATGTTTTAATGAATAGTGTACTGTTAAATGAACAGATTTTTGATCTACTATAGGCTGCTATTAAATAATTCAGCTGATATATAATTAAATACTTTGCTACTGTGTTGCTTAGACTCCTTGGGCTGTAAGAAATTCAGCTCAACGTTATTAATATAAAAATACTTATTTGCTTACTGGCTCTGAATCCAAGCTTTGCTGAATCCAAGTCTGTAGATGTTATTGTCAATAATATGTATCTGTCTCTTTTTCTTTCGTCGTTTAGTTTCTCCATGTTGGGAGAGAGTTAGCTTCCATCAGGAATTATATATTACTTAGACCTTAAGATTGCAAAATAAGAGAGTCCTCCTGTCTCCTATGGAAGAATCTTACTCTCTATAATAATATGTGTAAAAGGACTTGATTATCCCTACTTCAATCACATGTATACAATCACTTTGTTTAGGTCAGGGGTTGGCAAACTGCAACCTGTGGGCCAAATTCTGCCTTTATTTTTTAAAAATCAAGTTTAATTGGAACAGGCATGCCCATTTGTTTATGTATTGCCTATGGCTGCTTTTGTGCTGCGACAGCTGAATTAAGTCATTGGTATAGAAACTGTATGGCCTGCAAAACCTAAAATACTTAGTTTAAAGAAAGAGTTTGTTATCTTTGATCTAAGGGTAAGGAGTTCTCTAGCCAGGCTGTTTTAATTGGTTGTGGAATCAGAGCCTCTTGATTTATGGCTCTATCAAAATAACAGTGAGGGAAGGGAGCAGTTCCCAAAAGGATTGGCAGTTCCTAAAAGCAAAGAATGCCAGACACCTTCTTTCTTACTAAAAACAACTTGTCTATTACATCCAGTTTTTCCTTATGTGTAGATCCTGAGATTAAGCATTATTATGTGTGTCTCTCACACTGATATAAATATTAATAGAATAACATTATTGTAGGAGATATAGGAGAATGTGTAAGGATAATAGTAATAGAATCCCTAAATTACATAAAATACAAAGATAACAGTGTGAATAATGTAAATTGATGGATTATAATTTTTCTTTTCTCAGATGATGAAACATGCCTGGAATAATTATAGGATATATGGATGGGGACATAATGAACTCAGACCTATTGCAAAGAAAGGACACTCCACTAATATATTTGGTAAGTTTACTTTTTCAAATTACTATTTCCATTTTCTACATCCATTTTAAAAATAAGACTTAACTTTTAAAATACTTTCTAAAACCTGAGTATTTCTGTGGAATGGAATTATAATTTGAAGCAACATATATTTTCTCTCTCAAGTTTCAGTCAAGATTGGTTATGGTTGCTTTGGAATACAGAGATATGTGGTAGATTTTTAGTTTGCATACAGATGCTTTAGTCATTTATCTGAGTATTTTGAAGCTTTTTCTTTGTTGTTGTTTTTTTCTTAAATACTGAGAAGTTAGGTACCTATTTGTAATTCTTTTTCTTCAACATAGCTCACACATTATAGAGCCCAGGGGGAAGGAAAGGAAATTTCAGTAGTGCTGTGTACAGGCATAACTTGGAGATAACTGCAGGTTTGGTTCCAGACCAGCACAATAAAGTGAATATTGCAATAAGGCAAGATACACATTTTTTTGTTTCCCAATGCATATAAAAGTTATGTTTACAATATACTGTAGTCTGTTAAGTGTGCGATAACATGTCTAAAAAACAATGTATATGCCTTAATTAAAAAATACTTTATTGCTAAAATTACTAATCATCATCTGAGCCTTCAGTGAGTCAAACTTTTTGCTGGTGGAGGGTCTGGCCTCAATGTTGATGGCTGCTGACTGATCAGGCTGGTTGGTTTTGAAGGTTAGGGTGGCTGTAGCAATTTCTAAAAATGAGACAACAGTGAAGTTTGCTGCTTCAGTTAGTCTTCCTTTCACCAGTGATTTCTCTGTAGTATATGATGCTGTTTGATAGCACTTTACCCACAGCGGAACTTCTTTCAGAATTGGAGTCAGTTCTCTCAAACCCTGCAGCTGCTTTATTAACTAAGTTTATGTAATATTCTAAACCCTTTGTTGTAGTTTTAACACTCTTCACAGCATGTTCACCAGGAGTAGATTCCATTTCAAGAAACCACTTTCTTTGCTTATCCGTAAGAAGCAGCTCCTCACTGGTTCAAGTTTTATCATGTGATTGCAGTAATTCAATCACATCTTTAGGCTCCTCTTCTAATTCTAGTTTTCTTGCTATTTCCACCACATCTGCAGTTACTTCTTCCACTGAAATCTTGAACCCCTCAAAGTCATCCATGAGGGTCAGAATCAACTTCTTCCAAGCTCCTGTTAATGTTGATATTTTGACCTTTTCCTGTGAGTTATGAATGTTCTAGAATGGTGAATCTTTTCCAGAAGTTTTTCAATTTATTTTGCTCCAGCCCATCAGAGGAATCACTATCTATGGCAGCTATAGCCTTATGAAATGCATTTCTTAAGTAATAGACTTGAAAGTCAAAATTACTCCTGCAGATTGGATGTTGATTTCGCAAGCATCAACATTAATCTCGTAGTACATCTCTGTTAGAGCTCTTGGGTGACCAGGTGCATTGTCAATGAGTAATTTTTTTTTATTTTTTATATATATTGATTTCAGAGAGAGGAAGGGAGAGGGAGAGAGAGATGGAAACATCAATGATGAGAGAGTCATTGATCGGCTGCCTCCTGCACACCCCCGACTAGGGATCGAGCCCGCAACCTGGGCATGTACCCTGACCGGGAATCAAATCCCAATCGCCTGGATCCTAGGTTGACACTCAACTGCTGAGCCATGTCCGGCTGGGCGAGTAATTTTTTGAAAGGAAATCTCTTTCTGAACAATAGATCTCAAATATTAAAATATTCAATAAACCATGCTGTCAACAGATGTGCTATCATCCAGGTTTTGTTTTTTCATTTATAGGGTGCAGAGTAGATTTAGCATAATCCTTAAAGGCCCTAGGATTTTCAGAATGGTAAATGAGCATTGGCCTCAACTTAAAGTTACCAGCTGCATTAGCCCCAAACAAGACAGTCAGCCTGTCCTTGGAAGCTTTGAAGCCAGGCATTGACCTCTCTCTAGCTATGAAAGTACTAGGTGGCATCTTCTTCCAATAGAAGGCTGTTTTGCCTACTTTGGAAATCTGTTGTTTAGTGTAGCCACCTTCATTAATTATTAGATCTGGAGGATAACTTGCTGCAGCCTCTATATCAGCACTTGGTGCTTCACCTGGCATTCTCATTTTATGGGTATGGTTTCTTTCCTTAAACCTTATGAACCAACCTCTGCTGGCTTCAGCTTTTCTTCTGCATCTTCCTCACTTCTCTCAGTCTTCATAGAATTGAAGAGAGTTAGGGCCTTGTTCTGGATTAGGTTTGTCTTAGGGAATGTTGTGGTTGGTTTGATCTGTCTAGACCACTAAAACTTTATTTATATCAGCAATAAGGCTGTTTTCCTTTCTTAATATTTTTGTTTGTTGGAGTAGCACTTTTTATCTCCTTCAGGAACTTTTCCTTTGCATTCACAGCTTGGCTGACTGGTGCAAGAGGTCTAGCTTTCAGCCTACCTTGGCTTTCGACATGCCTTCCTCATTAAGCTTTATCATTTCTAGCTTTATGATTTCTAATGCAGTGTTTCTCTTACAATTTGTTTTTTTGCTTAGGTGTTTTCTGTAAAAGAGAAAATGAAAAGATCATTTTGCCTGGGTTTGAAAGATGTTGGGATGGAGGAATAATGGAAAATTTTTTAAAAATTATATTATTATTTAAAAATTTAAATTATAATGAAATGCCAGAGATCTCATTATATGATATGACATTTAATTTAGTAGAGATCTCTTAATGAAGTAAACTATATTTCCTCAGCAGAGGTTATGGATGGAAAAGTTCCCATTGCTTTGTGGATGCCCACAGTGTGAGATATTAGTGCAATAAAATCCATTATATTTTAATGGTTAATTAAAATTAGATCCTCTTGGAGCAGGTTGCGAGGGCTGGCATCCGGCACCCGGTTCGTTCTGGGGGAAATAAGGGAGAGACTCTCTCGAGCACCATAATTAGAGTCCAAGTGGGCGGAGCCACTCCTAGCTGTTGGCTCATGTCTCTGCAGAGCCAGGTGTCAGGCCGCCTGGTACAACTGTGTGGGGTGGGACGGCTGCTTGGCGCCCCATGTCCCTGGCCAGGCCCCTCAGCGGGTGCCCTGCGAACCCGCAGCAGTACATGTGGTCCTCCAGCGTCCCTGGGCGCTAATGGTCCCGGCGCACGGACGCCAGCAGGAGCTGGGTCCTGGGGGGAGGTGGCGGTGGGGTGTAGAGCTGGGGTGCGCACCTGGGCCCCCCTGCTCTTGGCGGCAGAGGTGGACCCAAACGCCTCCACCAACTGGAAGGAAGCAAAATCGTTTCTGAAGGGCCTGAGTGACAAGCAGTGGAAGGAATATTACTTCTGCCAGGACTTCATCAGGCTGAAGAAGATTCCAACCTGGGAGGAGATGGCAAAAGGGTTGACTGTGAAAGTGGAGGAGCCCAAGTACAAAAAGGACAAGCATCTCAACGAGAAGATCTCTCCGTTCCGAGGTGATATTACCAAGCTGGAGGTGGACGCCATCGTCAATGCCGCCAACAGCTCCCTGCTCGGAGGAGGCGGTGTGGACGGCTGCATTCACCAGGCTGCCGGGCCCCTTCTGACCAAAGAGTGCTGGACCCTGCAGAGCTGCGAGACCGGGAAGGCAAAGATCACCAGTGGCTATCGGCTGCCGCCAAGTACGTCATCCACACAGTGGGGCCCATCGCCCACGGAGAGCCCAGTTCCATCCAGGCTGCCAAGCTTCGCAGCTGCTACCTGAGTAGCCTTGACTTGCTGCTGGAGCACGGGCTCCGCTCCGCCGCGTTGCCCTGCATCTCCACCGGCATATTTTGCTACCCCAATGAGGCTGCAGCGGAGGTAGTGCTGGCAGTGCTGCGCCAGTGGCTGGAGCAGCACGAGGACAAGGTGGACCGGCTCATCATCTGTGTGTTTCTGGAGAAGGACAGAAACATCAACCTGCAGCAGCTCCCTCGCTACTTCCCAGTGGCCTAATGGTACCCGCTGCGCCCTGACCAGGGCTGCGTGGCCTGGGCCTGCTGGGTTTCACTCCCAGCTGTAAGAGGTTGCTGAAGCCTGGCCACTCCCTCCTTTCCCTCAGCCCCCTACCCTTCAGCAGCCTCCTAATAAAGACCACCCTTGTTTCAGATAAATAAATAATCAATCCTCTCTTCAAGTAAATATTTCACTATATTAAACTCAGTGGTAAAGGGTGAGCCCTTTGAAATGATTGGAGAATAAAAGTGTACTGAAAAGAGTTGGATGTTAATTTTCTACTTTTCAAAAATTTGTTTTAGACATTAGGAAAATGAAAACGCAAGCCACAAGACTTGGAGATATTTATGATATGTGAATATAAGGATGTAATCAGAATATATAAATAATTTTATACCAAAAAAGGTATATGAATAGCCAGTAAAGTGCATCAATCATCAGGGAAATTAAAATTCAAGCCACAGTTCAACATCCTACATACCCATTAGAATCACTAAAATGGAAAGACAGATAATACCAAATGTTGTCAAGGATGGTAGAGCAACTAGAACTCACAGTGTTGCTGGAAATATAAAATGGTGCATTCTGGAGAGCAGTTTGTCAGTCTCTCATAAAGTTAGACATAAACTTACCATACAGCTCAGCAATTCTACTCCTAAATTTTTCCCTGATGCTCACACTGAGATCAGATAGTAGTTTTATTTTTCTTCTTATGTTAGATTGTTGCATCATTGACATGCAGAATTCACAAATTGAATTTTAAGCTCTCTTCTATAAAAGTTTATGTAGTAGTAATCACCCTTAAAATTAAAATAGAATTCCATGAAACTTCCAGAGTATGGTAGTTTTATAGTGGGTAGCTCTTTGAGAACTGAATTTTTTCTGTTTCTTGGTCTTTTTGTTTGGATTTTCTGTTTTTTTCTTTCATAAGTCAAAATACTGATATATATATTCATATATTAGAAAATCATTAATTCCACTCATTTTTTCAAATCTATTGGAAAGATATGACTAAAGTGAGCTTTTTATAGTTTTCTTAATTTCCTCTATCTGTTGATGCATTCTCATTTTTTATTTTGTTTTTGTATTCCCATGACTACTTTTTAAAAATTGATTAGTGGTAGATTCATTGTATAGGTCTTTTCATAGAACTATATATCTTGAATTTATTATTTTGACAGTTTTCTTTATTTCTTTTTATAAAAAATCTTTTTGTCCTGTATTTTTCTTTCTCATTTTGTAACAATTTTTTAAATGTATTTACTGATTTTAGAGAGAGAGGAAAGGAGAGGGAGAGAGAAACATTGATATATAAATAAGTCAAACAACAAATTGATGTCTTTTTCTTTCTCTCTCTCTCTAAAAAAAAGACAACATTCTTAAAAATATTGGCACACTTCATCAATTTGTGAGTCATCCTTGTGCAGGGGCCATTCTGATCTTCTCTGTATCTTTCCAATTTTAGTATATGTGCTGCCAAAGCAAGTACTTTATTTCTAATTCATTAATTTCTGCCTTTAGCTTTTCTGATTCATCTACTTTACTGATCAAGTTTATCATTCCTTTTCTTTTTAGTAGAATGTTGTAAATTCAATTATTTTTATTTGTTTTTACTAAGTAGTATAAACTTTCAAGTTAGGAGGTTTTCTCTGAGAACTGTTCCAGTTGATTTCTTTGTTCTCATAATAAATTTTTATTAATTTTTAAATATATTCTACAGTGTCATGTTTTACTTCTTTCTTGACCCAAGGGTAGTTTTAGCCCTTTTAATTTTTTCCAGTTGAAATCATGGGTTGTCTAGTTAAACAACCACAGTGATAGCCAGTATTTCAGTTTTGCCTCTCTCTGCCTTGGGCTTTTAGGCAATGGCACAATCCTATAACTACCTGTAAACTTTGAAATAAGAACAAAACTGGTATTCTTAAGGATTTAAAATAAGCATGATAAATATTTTAGACAAAATACTAAAAAGATAACATATTTAAGTTAGTATGCAAGAGATTGGGATATATGGGCGATTAAATGGCTTAATAAAGTTTTTGTTATCTTATTAAAAACTGAGGAACAAGAAAAGTAAAAGGAAAGTGTGTCTGTAATAACCCAGAACAAACATTCTAGCTAATACCAACATGAAGAGAAGTGAGTTGGGAGAAGACCAAGGAATTTATCAGAGTGTGGTGGAGTACCTGTCTTGTTAGTGGGAAGATATATTTCTTGATAAATTGAAGAAATTACTAGGAACACGTGAACAAGAAAAGGCGGTGTAAGTGAAGGACAACCATTATAAAAACAAATTTGTATAGCTTTATTTGTTTTACTAGATCAAAGCATTAATTTTTTTTCAAACGCAAGCCTGTCACTTTTTTTTTTAGATTTTCATATACTTTAATTAATTTACAAAAAATTTTTTTTCTCTTAAACATTCAGAAGAAAACACTATTTACCTAGTAGAGAAAGGAAGAGAAGAGGAAAGAAAAGAAAGACTAGTAACTGTCAAATGCTGACGTCTAAAATATCACCAAGATAACTTGTTGATAAGGCAAAACTTTATCTTTGTCTAATGCTTACTTTGGTAAGGTAGATCATTACCTCACCAGAGCCCTACTTAGTAGCCTGGCAGATGGGGAAGGAAAAAGTTGAGATATTTATTGAGATTTAAAATCTGGCTTAAGATGGGCCTTTCAGTTGGAGGATGCTTGTTTATGATGATCAGATAAAGATCATGATATAATAATTTAGAATTGGTAAGCAGGGAATTAGGAGGCTAAGAGTTCAGAGTTTTGGAGTGTAAACCATCATGTGATACTTTCTATTGAAGAGTTGATGGGCCTTTCAGGAAGTTCCTGGAATGAACAATAAAATTACTTTGTAACTTTTATCATTTTGAGTAAGAGACTCCTGGAACAGTAAACTCTTGATGACGACAGTATAATAAAGTCGTGTTAATGTAGATAGTAAGCTGTGTGGATGATTTTCATTCTCAGAAGACAGAAATAATAACTGTATTCCTAGGGTTGGGGAGGGCCCACCTGCTCCCTTTTATTTATTCTTTTACTATGCTACTAGGTTTGTTCGCTAGTATTTTATTCAGGAGTCTTGCAGTTAAAGTCATTGGTAAGATTGGCCTCTTTTTTTGTCATATGTTTACAGTATCTAGTTTTGGTATCAGCTAGCTTTTTGAATTAGTTCCTCCCTCTTGGAAACATTTCCTTTTAGATCAGGATTATCTCTTTCTTGAAGATGGGTAGATCTTACTATTTTGATTTTCTCTACTCACATTTGTTTTATGGCTTCCTTTTCAGTATGACCAACCTGCTTTTTGATTGTTAAGGATTATTATAATTTCTGTTCTTGTTGCACTTGTATTACTACTTTTAAGTATATATTTTGCTTTTTCTGTGAATTTGTACCAGAAGAGCACGGTTGCCTTATGACTTAGCTTGTTTTCTTGAACCACCCTCCCCATTTCTCGAATTAGTCCTCTTTTTTAAACGTAATTTAGTTAAATAGATCTCTGTTATGACCAAGAAGAAAAGGATAATTAAAATTTTGTTTTTTAAAAAATCATCTTATTGTCAGTGTGCCATATTTAGGAAAATATATTAAACAGTGTACATTATCTATTCTTATGGAAAAGTGAACCATATTGGATATTCTTTTTGGTCCTTATATTCTTACTTTGATTTGCTTTTTATATATAGAATATTATAATAGACCATATTATAATAGACCATATTGCAATGGCCTTATGGGAAGGCCATCTTTTTAATGACAGTTTTTCCTCTCTAAATATAGGAAGTTCACAAATGGGTGCTACCATAGTAGATGCTTTGGATACCCTTTATATCATGGGACTCCATGATGAATTCCGAGATGGGCAAAAATGGATTGAAGACAGTCTAGATTTCAGTGTGGTAAGTATACAATTGATAATTTCTTCAACTGACTATGAAAAGACACAGTGTCAAACCCTAATAGTTTTGAGCATTATACTAGAAGTTTAAGGATATCCTCCCCTTTTTTCTTTTGGGATTATCAGTTGTTAATTTTTTCATAATTTTTTTTGTACACTCTCACCATCTTCCTTGTATTTTTCTTGCCCTTATCAGTTGAGGCAGTATGTTAAGGCAATAACGGGAGGAAAAACATTGAATTAGAAATATGAGGAAAGCATAAACTGTAAATAATAAGCATTTTATGTTATTATTTTTTAAAGATTTAGTGATTTTGGCCCTGGCCAGTGTGGCTCAGTTGGTTGGGCTTCGTCCTATGCACCAAAGAGTTACCAGTTTGACTCCTGGTGAGGGCATATGCCAGGTTGTGGGCTTGATCCCCGGTAGGGGCGTGCAGGAGGCATCTGATTGATGTTTCACTCTCACACCGATGTTTTTCTCTAGCTCTCTTTCCCCTTCCTCTCTCTCTAAAAAAAAGTCAATTAAAAAATATATTAAAGATTTAATGATTTGGTGCAGCTTTGATGAATATTCCTAATTAGGCCTATGCCTGTCCTTCCAGTATTTTGGCACAGTTGTTGAATGGTACTGGTTAGGTTTGAAGCCTAGCACAGCTACATTCTAGCTATGTGTCTTTGGGAAGGTTTCTTATTCTTTCTAAACCTATCATAAAATTCACTGCAATATTATAAGGATTATTTGAGATAATCTGGTGTATATAAAGTGCTCAGTAAGTGGTAGCGGTTATTTTCATTATTACCATTCTTCATCTCAAAGATGTATGGACTGTTTTGTCATCTTCATTGTCATCTTTCATGATATTCGTGCTTGCTGTTCCTCTGCCTGTAGTCAGAAGTCACTCCTCCATGTGTTTTTTTCTTTGGCAGACTCTGCATATTCCAATTGTGATTTAAATCCAAAATTATTTCTTCCCTGGTGTCTTTCCTGATGCTAACTAGACAAAACTGATTACTTTCTTTTATATTACTCTAGCATTTTTTGGACATATCTCAGGACAATTTATGTTATCAGGTAGGTTAGGTTTGGCCATGAGTGGCAGAAAACCTAATATAAAATAGCTTAAACACGATAGATGTTTATTTATCTCTCATTCAAATTAAGTAGAGAGATAAACTGTTTAGCGCTGATTTGGGTAGCTCCTTGATCATCAAGGTTCTGGGGTTCTTTGTCGTGTTGCTCTGTCAACTTCAGTGCACAGCTTCAAACTAATGGTGCAAGGTAATTCCTCAAGATAAGGTGGATAAACCTTCCAGTTGCAGAAAAAAGGAAGGGATAGGGAAAGATATGCAACCGTTCTTTAAGAACTCTTTTGGAGAGTTGCTCACCCCACTTTTGCTTGTGTACTATTGAGTAACTCTTACTCATATGGCCCTACATTAGTAGAGAGAGGCTGAGAAATGTAATCTTTTTTTTTCTTTGCTCTGTAGCCCTTATAGGTTGTACTTTCTGTATCTTGTTTAAGAAAACCCTACTCCAAGGTCATGAAGATATATTACCTTATTTATTTATTTATTTATTTATTTATTTATTTATTTATTTATTTTTATATATCTTTATTAATTTCGGAAAGAGGAAGGGAGAGAGAGAGATAGAAATATCAATGATGAGAAAGTTTTCATTGCTCAGCTGCCTCCTGCATGGCCCTTGACTAGGGATCGAGTCCACAACTCGGGCATGTGCCCATACTGGGAATCGACCCTTTATCTCCTGGATCCTAGGTTAATGCTCAACTGCTGAGCCACACCTGGCAGGGCGATATAGTACTATATTTAATTCTAAATATTTAATGTTTGCTTTTGCACTTAGGTTTTTAATTAATATAGAGTTGATTTTTTATGTAGGGCAGGATAGGCTACCATCAGCTGATCCTAGTACCATTTATTTCTTCACTATTTATACATGCCTCATTAGTCATGTTAGTCTGTTGTTTTCTATTGGCTTTTTTTCTTTATCCCTACATCATTATTAAACTGTCTTAACTACAATATCTTTGTAAGAAGCTTTATACCTATATTTGAATCTTGATATCTGATCTTGTTCTTCTAGGAAATTACCTTAATTCTCAGGTCTTTGTTCTTTTCAGCTCTGGAATACTGTTGAAATTTTGATGAGGATTGCATTAAATTTATAGATTAATTTGGAGAGAATTAATATCAGTGCAATCTCAAATACTTCTCTTCATTATTGTGGCAACTTTATTATGCCTAATAATTTGCTGGCGTATCATTTTTATCCATTGGCTCTATCGGGAACCAGAACTATACCATTTATTTTAGAGGACTTACTGTTTAGAATTGTTAACCAAATAATGGGGAACTGAAAAGGCAAAAAGAGGACATTGTGGTATCACAAGAGGTAGTAACTGCACTAAACAGCTACCACCCCTGGGACTTTGAGAACAATGTGAAGAGATTGGGATAATGAAAATTTAGTAGCTAGGGACTCTGTTTCTGGTGTCTTAGGAGCCCTTGGAAGGGCTCTCTCAGCGCTAGGTCTCAGACTTCTGAGGGGGGGGTACCTAGCTAGTGCTTGGTATTGCTAAGGGCTGTAATGAAGCTGCTTTGGAGATTGTATATGTGTGGCAGGGGAACTGTAACCTAGAGCCAATGGCCACTACCAGGGAGTTTGGCAATTCTGGAACAGTAAGGAGACCCATTTGGTAATTTAAAAAAAGTGAGTGAAAGGAATATAGGTAGGAGATGATTTCAGAGAGGTGGGGATCTGATTTTGTTGGGTCTTATTAGTCACTGTACTCTGAGTGTAGCCAGAAGTCATTGTAAGAATTTGTGTAGAGTAGTAGCCTAAACTGACTTAAGATTTTCAAGGCTCATCCAGCTGTAGGATGCTGCATAGAGTGAAAGCAGGAGGGTAAGGATGAAACCAGGGAACCTGGCTAGAAGATTATTAAGGTGATAAAGACCCTCCCTCCCTCTTTCCCTTCCTCTCTATATTTGTGAATGTCTATTGCAGTGTGCTATGTATTGGGAATATATGGAGCAATATAAAGCACTTTGCTTTTGAGGATGGGGAGTGATGACAGTTATATTATTAAAAATTACATTGTATTGTGAAAATTCTATATTGGAGAAATATACTTGTGTTATCAAATGCTATGTTCTGTCCATGAATGTTTGGAGGATTTAAGGTAATATAGTTCCTTTTAATTTGTATTAAAAAGTTAAACATAAATGTTATCTTTATATTAGTCGGTTGTGTATATTCTGTGAATTCTTTGGTCATGTTCTCTGCCACTTCTATTTTTCTTTCCATGTATTAGAATTTTTCTCAGCAATACCTATATGCATATTTAAATACAAACATATAGATTCTGTGTAGTAGTTCTGCTATATTTGTACTAAATTTCCTTCTGTTTGTTTGCTTTTTAATTTTGTTCATAATTTTTTTTTTTCATTGGTAATTTGCATCTTGGGAAATTCAGTTCTTTCTGTCATCATTTATTATCAATACTATTGATTTTATGCTTACAGAGTACCTTCTTTCTCAAGGAAGTTTACAAAGAGTCACAATTTCTTCTACTCTTTGTTGTGATTTTTTTCTATATTTGTGAAATGGTTATCCACATTAATTTCTTAACTAAGCCATTTTCTCAGCATTATTAATTGAATAGAGTCCATCATCCTACCGTTATTTTTTTGGTGCCTCTTTTAACATTTATTAAGTAATTGTATATTAGGAAAAATATTTAAAATTCATGAGGAGAGATAGAAGTGAAGATGGACATTATGTTGTAGTAAATAGGACAGGAAAAAGGACCAGTAGAAAGTACTAATTCCAAAATTCAGGAAATAGGTGCTTTCTAGGAGAGAATAGTAACAGAATCAAGTATTTTGATAATTTCACAATAATATGTAAGGGACGTGAAAATGGCCTGTTCTTGGCAATTAGGAAGCAGCAGGGACAGTAGGGGAGTTGCAATATCATTAACAACAAACGGGAGGGGAGATGGCAGTTGCATGAGAAATGAAGATGTAGAAAGTGGAAAAACATTCTCTACAGGCAGGATGTTTGCAAGAAATTTACGAAGTATTGGAAACATTTTGAGAACTATAAAGTTTTAAGTAAATGTAAATATTTCAATGTGTTTTTACAGAATTCAGAGGTGTCTGTGTTTGAAGTCAACATTCGATTTATTGGCGGCCTACTCGCAGCGTATTACCTTTCAGGAGAGGAGGTGAGCAAAATCAAGTACTGCATTGTTTTGGGGAAGGGGTTGTGAATGGAATTTAATAAGATGAAAGATTCCCCCGGCAGCATAACATTTCTTAATTGTCAAATATTGAACTAATGTTAAGAACTAGAGGCTACAGGTAGAACTGCTCCTTGGGAATAGTGAATTTTTCATTTTGAGAATATCGATAAAACATAAATTTGTTACAATCTTAGCTTTATATACATCACATCTCCTTTGCAAGAGTTTTCCTTCTCCAGGAGGTTGCTGCTACAATTAATTACGTGGTCAAAACAAAGGGGGGAAATCACTAAGACCATAATTAAGGAATGAATCATGAGGACTGAATATGGATCCTCCTTAGTTAAAACTGTCTGGAAATTAACTACAGTTTCTTGCTCTAAATTTAAAAAACTAAATACAGCAACTCTGAATTCTCTTTTCTGGAAATCTTGGTGTAATACACACAGACACACTTGAGACCTATGGTGATGGGGAAGTAGGTGCCTGAAATTTTACCACGCAGATGGGTTCAAGAATGGGGTTGGATAGTAGGAGAAAGAGGAACTAAGAGGAGAAGGTTATAAGTCATTTCTATTTCGGTTTCTGAGAAACTACTTCGCCCATATACTTAATTGGTTTGTTGGTCTAAATAATTTTAAGAGCTCTACAAATTTAAGAAAATTCATCTTTTCTTCTGTGTGTTGAAAAGATGGATTTCTGTGTTGTCTTTAGTTTTTATTTTTTGTGATTAACCTTAAAGTTGTCATTTTTAGGATTTTTTAAAACCTTTTATGGCTTCTAGATTTTATTAGAAAGCCTTCCCCATGTTTGTGTTATTACAAAACAAAAATTCCCATTTTCCTTCAGGATTTTTAAGACTGTATATGCTTATATTTAAATATTTCATCTGTGTTGCATGTTTGTGTAATGAGTGAGATATTCTTGTACTACAGTTCTTTTAGAAGTAATATGTTTGAAGATACTGGTATTTAATATAAATGTTAGATATATAACATTTATTTAACTTGTAATTTTGCTGTCAGACTTTATTATGTAACTTCATTATGCCTCCAACTTATCTTTCAGTAGCCAGAACACTACTTCAATTCACATTTATTTATTTTTCCTACCCACTGCTTTTTTATTCCTTGTGGCTCAGTTTGTATAATTTTTATAGACCTACCTTTAAGTTCACAGACTTTTTTCTCAGCTCTATTCAATCTACTTTTGAGCCTGTTGAAAGCATTTGGCATCTCTCTTACTTTGATTTTTTTATTATTATTATTTTTTGTAGTATTTCATTTGACTTCTACAGTTTCAATTCCTGTTACAGTTTCTCATTGTCTTCATGCGTGTTTTCCACCTTATCCACTAAGGAGGTCTTTTAACATAGTAATCAGTCATTTTAAATCCTGTTTCAGCCTCAGTCTGGTTTGTCATGTGTTTTGTCTCTAGAAAGTGGATTTTTTTCGTGCTTTCTTAGGTATTTCATAATTTTTTATTGAATGCCAAATATTGTGTATGGGGCAGTAAAGACTAAGGTTGATAATATTTATGCCTGGATTAGCATGCCTGTGCTAGAGTTGAGCCAGGTGTGGGTCTTTTATTGCTAAGATTACCTACTGTGCACCACTAGGTTTAAATTCTTCTATCATTACCTTGTAATTAATGTGGTCCTTGTTTGTAGACAAGTCTTTCTTAATGTTCTTGCTCTATCACAGGTATGCCTGTGGCCCAGAGAGGGTCTCTTTCTATACGTACCTTGTCTCTCCCCCAGCCGTGGACTGCTATTACTCCATGCTTCCTGTCCGTCATTCGTGTGAAGCCATTAGTTTACACCAATAGCTCAGATTTCAGCCCAACACCATTAGGTTCATTCTAGCTTTCTGCCTTTTCATAATTTTACTTCTCTTTTCTGCCTCCTAATATTCCTTATTTATTTACCTATCGGTTTGGTCCTGCTGTATGAAACCACTTTCCTCACCTCGCCAGGCTGCAGCCTTGCTGAGTGCATCTTCTTTGCATGGACTCCTCTGGGACTTGACTCCCTTTGTTTGGTTGGCCTTCCTTTCCTCATGTTGGTCTCAACCCCTCTCCAGGACATTGCTTCCCACTCCAGTCATACCTTCTGGGTTCAGACCCTTGACTTCAGGAGCTGTTGGAGTGACATATTAAACAATGAAGGGGGGAAGAAAATGCAACTATTTTGATGCCTTCAATTTCAGATTTTCCCCCCAGATGTCCTTGAAAAAGGAAAGCATTTTTTTTCTTACTTTTACGCTTATCTGAATATGTTTAAGTACTAAATATTTTGTGTGTAATTGGCATACTTGATTAATTTTCCTATCAAAGGCATATGACTCAGAATTAATTATGAACAGCTCATGGGAGAAGTGTCAGCTGTGGCTGTTCACACTGGGCTCCCCCACCTGAAAGTTGAAGCAAAATGTTGAAATTTTGGTTGCTGTTCTCATAGGAAAACAAGAAAATACCAAAAAAGCATATGATGTTACCAGCATTTCTATTTTTGCCATTTTTATGCCTCAGGCTTTAAGAAGAAACATTTTGAGGTGGAGGAAGGTACATATGCTTTGGAGTTAGAGGTTTGCGTTTCTCTTCTGCCTCGCTTTCATAATGATACTTGGCAAGGCATTTACCTTCTGTAACTTCAGTTTTTTCTGTGAAAATGTGAGGGTTCACTTGAGAGTTGTGCCTCACATAATGCCTGACTCAGTAGAGACTACTGTACTGTTCTTCCTCCTCCGACTTTTTCCTGTGTTGAATATTCTGTGTTTTAATGGGTGGGAGATTTCATAAATTTATTTTAAAATGTGTATCATATATTAATTTCTTAGGATATAGTCTGCTCAGAAAGTAAAGAGAACATGTTTTACTTTTGTGACTCTCATACAGTAGAATATTACTGACCATTTTACTTTTCCCCTTCGTCATTTTACATTAAAAGCTCTAATCTGTATGTTCTAGGAAACCAACAATGAGTCGCTGGGGTCTGCTAAATAAATAAAACATAGAAAAATAATTTGAATATGACATTATCATACCAGGTAGACAGTAAATTTTCATGTTTCATATAAGCCAGAAAATTACCTATAACTTATAACATGGCAAAGTGCCTCTGTTACAGAACATTTTACATGTGTTCTGTGTTCTGGTATAGGGAACCCAGAAGGTTATATGTGATCCTAACAAAGTGTTCCTTTCCTGTTGATTTATTAATATCATAAATATGAAACTTTATCATTTTATTTTCTTAGAACAAGGCTATTTATATTAAATATTCACAAGTTCAAAAATCTCGATGATTTATTATGTTTACTTGCTGCTAGCCTCAAATATATGGCATATCTTTTACAGGATTGTCTCTTCTCATTTTTTAATACTTATCAAAGTGGCATCCCTTCCTAAATAAGATAATACCATAATTTATGTGGATAACTGCATCTGAAATCTGTCAGAAAGGGTAGAGAAATGGTTATGTGGAGTTTAGTACATATTTCACAGGTAATAAAAACAAAATAAAAGAAACAACACCAAAATCTTTCTTTACCAAAACACAAATGGTACTGTATTGCCTGTAGAGTAAGATCATTTCTGAATAAGTTCAGGGATGTTTTCTAAGACAAATAGGATATCCTTTGTTGACCTAAAGTCCTTTAAGAAAAGTACTGAGTTAAAAAAAAAAAGAGTAGAGTATTAATTTCTCATCTTATTTTTGGAAAACCTGATTTTGCTCCAAAAATTGCTATTTTTATTGAAAATTCAACATCATTTTCTACAGATATGCTAGTAAATTGGACAAAACATTCCACTATGCTTTGCTGACCCAGATAAGATTTTAAAATACACTCTCCAGTATTTTCCTCTTAAATGTGAGAGTTCATGTACACATTTATACACATTCATACATTTTTAAAGTCACAGTACTCATACCAATTCATAGTTGATGATTATGGTTATGATTACTCGTTTGACAGATCATAGGAGTTTGGAGTTATCTACTATAGGAGCTAGAAATTTAGGGGTGAAATCCAGGAAGGAGGAAGCCAAAGAGAAGCCCCCAATTCTGCATGCATGAGACTGTGTATTTAGACCACATTGTTTTATTTCCCTGTATTTTCATAGAGCTCTACCATAGTTTTCTGCCTGAAATAAACTCTTATCCTTCCACTTTCCACCTAGTAAATAACGTCAAGGCCCAGATTACTTGATTTATTTTTAAGCAACTCTTTGAGGTTAATTTATATACAATAAAATGCTCCCAGTTTAAATGTATGGTATGTAATTAAATGTGTAGTTTAGATTTTAACAAATGTATATAAGCTGTTGGAGGGAATACAGATGATACAATTTTTGAAAAATAATTTTGCAGTGTCAAGTAAACATTTAAAATGTAAAATTTTCTTTGACCCAGTTACCCATTTAGGAATATATTCTCTGAAAGTAACAATATGGATACAATATGGTATACTTAGAAGACCATTTCATTGCAGTAGTATGTTTGTAGTAGCCAATATTTGAAAAGCCCCAAATAATCACGTAGGAGAGAATGGATGAATAAATTAATACATCTCTTACTATAGAATGTTGTACAATTATGAACATAAATTTGGTATATTTTAACTAGGAAAAATATGCTTGCTATGTGTGTGTATTTCCCATTCAGTCAGTTAGCCATTGCAGTATTTTGGATAAGACATAATGGCAGCTTAGGCTAAGATGGGTTGTAGAAATGAGAGATATAAATGATTTCCAGGGACTTGGGAGGTAAATTCAAAAGGATTGGTGATATTTTGGAGGGAAAATGAGGCAGAAGGAGGAATTGGTCCTGTCCCTAGACTTCTAGGTTTTGGTACTAGACTGATGGTCTGACACTTACTAGATATTGAACACTTAAAAATACTAGATTGGGAGAGGAAGATATCAGCTCATTTTAAGTATTTTGAGTTTGAGGGGATTTTGCTATATTTAAGTGGAAATGG